TTGGGATCTTTTATCGAAGTCCATTATTAACAGGAAATATCTGTCCAATTGCAACCTATGATTTGATGTAGTGTTTAGAACCACTCATATTTACACAAGCCACATGCAATATCTTTTAGGGGAACCATAATTTCTGTAAAATCACACAGTAGTGTCCAAAGAAGGAGAGGAAGACATAGGTTGTAATGGAAGGATGGCATAGCTGCAAATGCCCAATCCATGCATGTAGTCCAAAACTGGAAGGCAGATGCACAACACAGGAATGAATGGGGGTCTAATCTGCGAGAGGTCTTGTCTCCATGCGGAACGTAGTGTCAAAGAAGAAGAAGAAGATGTTGACACAGCTGCAGGCATTCTAGAAATCTAAGAAAAAGTGGTACACTTGATGCCAACGGGGGATAAAGCTTGTGCACAGCACCGCCTTTGCCTGACAACCTGATATATAAGATAACTGAATAAAAATAGTCACGAGTTCGCGTCCTGGTGCCGGGAGAGTCTTTTAATTCAGTCATTAGTCCCCGCTCTCACTCCCTGGCACAGCCTGTATAGTAAAAGTGAAATCCCGTAACCTCCACCATACTTCAATAGTTCCACAGGTGTACAATCAACATAAGTAGATTTATATTTCCTATAATATACAATTTATAAAAAAACAAAAAAAAAAACAACAACAAATTGTGAACATTATATGACCTGACTGATTTTTTGGCCAATAATAATAAAGCAATTGATTTCTTAAGAAATTAATGTATGTAAAGCCAGGTGGTGAAAGAAGATGTGGACATCTTAAGATGATTGGATATTGTTGAAGCAGACTTGTGCCAGCTTAGATTATGTTAAACAATAGATGTTTGGTTATGGTATAAATATAAAAATTAAGTGGATTTTCAAAATAAAATGTAAATATTTAATATTAATGAACCAATCAATGTTTCAAAATTGATTGATATTTTAAAAATGTGCTATATGGAATGGTTTAGATTTCAATATTTTTAACTTGAATATGTTAATGGAAACCATATTATTACATTGTCATAGGTTTTACAGCTTGGACTATTTAGAAACTCAAAATATGTTCTTTTTATATTTCTATTGATCAAAGTAGTTGATTTTTTTTTTTTTTTTCCTCTCTTACCTCACAATTTTGTCTACATGGGGTCTTGCCCAAGTAAGAGGAGAGAACCAGAGGTACCCATCTCCCCAAGGTCCATGGCGCAAGAACCTATCCTCCTCCCTCTTCCAAGATATTTTATTGTTCACATTTTCTTAAAACAGAGCAAGCTAAGGTAGATTTAGAAAAATCGTAGATTGTATTTAATTACACTTGCTGCAGCTTGTTCCATTTTTTCATTTGTCCCTTGGTCGGCAAAATCATAACCCCGTCAAAATCCACCCCTTAAAAATTCAAAAACCCATTAAAATATATCCAACTCAAAAGTTTTGATGGCGCAACTTTAAAAAAAATATATTATATAGAATTATTTTCTTGCGAATATGGTTGAAATAATTAATCGTAAATATTTTCTAAATTATTAATGTAATTCAGATGTTCCTGATGATGGAGGGAACATCTCAACACTCTTGTAAAAAATCTCAAAAGTCTGATGCCTCACAAGTTTGCTTAAATAGACCTGATAATAAGAAATTAGTTGATAATTGGAAGATAAGATCATTAGCCTGATAATGATATTTCATTTGCTTGATGATACCCAGTCATCTGGAAAAGTGACATAGAAATGACCTCTGCAATGCTTGGAAATTGGAAATATTTTAGTCTTACTTTTTGGCAGCTTCAAGTTCCACAGCATTCTTTCTTACAGATGCATGAAATTAATTTGTGTCTGGGTTGTGGAGCCAGAACCTTTATTGTCTTTATGGGGTAAGTCCTAACTGTTCGGAAGTTATTTCAGTTTTTCGCTTATAACTCTTATAACTGACGCATCCTAGAAAAAAATAACTTGTATCTAAAAGCAAGCTGATAAAATTTGCAGTAAAAATCTAAAATATTTAAACTTGTGTAATAAACATCTAAAAACACGTAAAATCATCAATATTATTTAATTTATAACATTAATGAATCGAAATATTATCAGATTTTTAGTTAACCGAGAGTTTTTAAAAAAAAAAATGTTAATTTTACATTTAAAATGAAATTCCAGATTATAATCAACTATTATAATAACGATTATTATCAAATAATGCAGAACATTGAAGGTTTGAAGGAATAAATGAAGCCAGGAATTATAGGTATCTATATATTATATAGACCAGACCAATTTTAGATATGTAACTGTTATTAAAAATAATAATGAAAATTATATTTTTAATAGGGTTGAAATTTCTAATATTATACATTCTAAAACGCTTTTGTTAAAATTTAATGAATTCAAAATAAAAATTGAAATAGACTTATAATATTTGAGATTTTCAAGTGTTCAAATATTAGTGTGGATGGTCACTTGATCTCCTTCTGTAAACTTATTATTAGAGTGCTTCCATTGAGTAGTTTCTCAACAAGCGTTTTCATGTGATTATATTTCTGTGTACACATTTACTTGATGTATTTATATTAATGCAGTTGTAAATATCATAAATAACATTTAAAAATATATAAATGTTTTTCTACAGGTCCTGAAACAGATAGGTATTCGAGTCCGGAGTTTTTACACGTAAGCGAATAAAAAGTGCAATAACATGGAAATCCGATCTCTAGTGATGGTTTAGTGGAGTCCCGAAGCTCAAATCTGTATTTCCAAATAGGCTTTATTATATAAATTATATAAATAAGTGTTGTATGCCCGGCAGGGCCCATTATTTACTGACAGCACACATGTATCATCAAGTAAGTGGTGATAGTGTTAGGATGGTAGGGGTGCCAAGGTGTTTATGGTTTTGTGGTCCAAGTTGCAACACTAAAATTTTTAAGGGGAAGGGGACATATTTTGATGAGTTTTTGAACTTTTGAGGGGAGTAATTTATACCGGGTTATGAATTTTCGGAATGAAAAATTTCAGAATAAGGGGAAAGGAGAAAACATGGAACAGGCCACAGCAAGTATAATTGCATATGATCTACGATATTTCGAATTCTACTTTCCCTTGATCGGTTTGTTTGAAAAGGTGAGCAATAAAATACCATGGAGGAGGGAGGGGGAAGAGGTAGGTTCTTGGGCCATTGACCTTTAAGGAAATAGGCATCCCTGTAGGGTGGATGAGGGTTGTATGAACAGTGTAGAAGATTGGTCGGAGAACACTACCTTTAGGAAAACCAGCAGACTGAAGAATAGGTGCTATTATGATTTAATTTCAATGAACTGATAGTGACCAGAAATAGATAATGAGAAAGATTTGTTTTTATTTTTTTCCTAACATGCCTTTTCGGCTCTATGGGATTTTTCCGAGCCAATAAAGAGTACAAGAGATTAATTATAGAGTTAAAAGTTACCGGCACCGTGACTTCAACTTGTAATCTTTAGTTTATATGCAGTTATCAGACAATGCGTGTTTTGCACACGTATTAGCTCGCTCAGCCGACCTTCCCACCTGCGTCTAGAGAGCAAAATATTTTTGAGGAGCGATCATCGGGTCTGGTCGGTCTATACCGTCAACGTTCGTCTACCCTCCTCTTCTCAGTTCAACATGCTACAGTATATCTTCGTATTCTGTGAGCAAGAAGCCCCTATCGTGTAACCTCCCTCCCCCCACCACATTCCTATAAATTGCATATCGTTGTGTTCCTTGTCACTATTTATTTTAAAAAAAGCCAGTGTTCCCATAGAAAAAGTGAACGCACTGCCCCAAAGATGGCGGATTGACGACTTTGACTTTAGTTAGTTTTTTGGTCACTGAGAATCAGCACTTGGTTTAATTTCCTCATGGTTGGTCTTTTATTAAAGCTGAATAGTCAGAAAATAATAAAACATGAACAAATATAAAAAAATAATTGGCTTAGGCAATAAAAAAAAGGGTACATCAGCTAGTTTATGCTAAAGTAAAAATTGTAATTGTGATAATCGTTGAAGGTTTTAGATAATCGTTGAAGGTCTAAATCACTCTGTGAATGATTTAGTTTATCTGCTTTGTAGATGATATTTTTAATTAATTTTTTTTCAATTTTGGTATATGAACCACCAATTACTAACTTCATATATACATAAAATCTTTGGTATAATAATAGTTACATTATTAGGTGGGGTTTATACAACTGCGACTTAACCTTATTGCTGAACCTACATACACAGAGGTTAAGAAAACCTGCTGATATTGGGGTAGAATATTGGGGTAATAGCTGTCAAAGTCACGATGTCATGATTAAGTGATAGATATGGAGTTCTGGAATAGCAACGGTGCCTTAACATTCCCGGGCGAAAAGAGATTCCGAATTTCGATTTGTGGCGGTCCCATGTCGGCCTTCCATACTGGCTATCGTAGGTCGGAAACCCAAATCCACCCGCCTTTCCTGACATTTTTTATGTAAAATTATAAATGAGTATGAAGTCTTAAATTGTGCAAATTGTATTTATACTACTTAGCTCCAATTATTTTCAGATAATTTATTTTTTTTATTTATTAATTTTTCCATCAATAGATTTGAAAATATTGAATATTGAAGGAAAAATTGGTGATCACAGTGCACTTCCTAAAAAACCTATTCACGGTTGATGTAGGAGAAAGTAAAGATAGTGATCTATGTTCATAGGCTTGCTAAGTAAACAAGAGGAGTTGGGAGAGCTCAACAGTTGATGGTATAGTGGTTGACACCACCAAATGTCAGAGGAATAGTTAGCCACAGTACATATGTGCCGACCGTGACGTCGCCCTCTAGCGGGAGTATTATCGCTTTAATTCGCATCAAACTTTGTAACAAGACGTTGTGTACCAGAATATGTGTACTTCGTAGGCTTATGTCAGCAGGAGATAATGATGGAGTGGTAACAAGCAGTTTGTTTCTGGGTGTTAGGGCAAACTCGGGCTGATGTGAACAGTTAAGTCGCTTTGAGGCTTGAAGTCAGCTGTGCCCCTTATCACAGTGGTGTGAAAAAGACTTCGAACAAAAAAAAAAAAATGTGTAGATAAATAATAATAGAATTAAGTAGAATTAAAGGCTTGGAAGAAAATAAAAGAACAAGTTCATTTCATTCCTTTAGCTTTATTTTGATACATTACAACACCGCATTGGATTTTCTTGTTTCTTGGTTCCTGAAAGAAAAATTGAGCTAATATTAAAAAAAAAAAAAGAAAAATTAAAATATCCATTAATAAATAACTAAAATTCAGAAAAATGGTGATTTTATTTTAGTTTCATGAATTGCAGTTTTTTGATCGTTTTTTATTTGCCTAAAATGAATAGTCTTGGCTTTTAATTTCGTTCAATACTGAATCAATGAGTCACTAAGTTTACCAGAGAGACATCTGCAATGCATAAAAAACTTGTGTTACTTCACTAGACCTTAAGCACATTATGTGGCGATAAAAAGCATTTCATTGTCTGGGCCAATGGTCGGGGAACTCATTAGTAAAAATACAATTGAAGTTGGTTTTTGTGAGCCATATTTTGTTATACAGCTTAATTAAATGTCCTATTATTAATTAATCATGAAACAATTAAGGTAGTCTGCCATTTGCTTAAAAATAGCTTGCAAGAAGTTCAACAAATCGTATATTAGTATTTAATATTACGGGAAATAAACTCATTACAAAGTTTTTTTTTTTTTTTTGTGTCGTCCCCTTCCTCGCCTTTAAGACTATACGGGGTTCTCCCGAGCCAGGGAGTTTGGGCGGGGATTTACAAGACTCCCCCGTCACCGGGATACGAACTCGGAACTATTTTTCATCGTTGTCTCGTGTGTCAGGTTGCCGTGCAACGGCTAACACAACTCGTTAGCCCGTTCGGCCAACCCGCCCACAAAAGATAATGATAAACCCGGTATTGAGCCTGGCAATTTACTATTGTAAAATAAGATGCTAGCCACTACACTATTAAGTGCTCTCATTACAAAGTTACTCCTTTATGTATGGCGTTTTATCCCTTTCTCTACCCCATGCATTGAACACTGTTGTCATGTTAAACTATCCTTTGCCCTCTTCCCCCCCCCCAATATTGGCGCCTATGTACGCTACTTCTCCTCAGGTGGACCAATACAACTCTCCCATCCCTATTCGTTTTTTTTTCGGTCAGAAGCTCTCTCCCTTCTCCTATCCTCGACAAAATCTCGTACCTCCATCTGTTTTGGTAAACAACTCCTTTCCAATTTCTCGGACGTAGAGCTCTTGGTCGACTTCAAACCTGTTGATGATTTTCTGAATCGTGGATTAATGTTTGGAAATAAACAACTGTTTGTGCTAAAGACAGATCAGAAGATCTAAAAAATAACGTTTAATCCTTACGAGCGATGCTTCTTTTGACCTCAGACCAGCACAGATACTTAGACGCGGCAGATGCTCCAAGGGCGCCCTCAAGGTAAGAAAGAGATGTAAGCTGACATAAAGATGGTAAGCTATTTTTGTACAATCAGTATAACCTACCAATCCATTAAAATACAGTCCACTGCATAAAAGTAGAATGTTATCCAATAAAATTTGAATGTTGCATATTAAGAACTCATGAGAGTTATTTGCCTTGCCTTAATTTGAAAAGTTGCTTAAGCAACAGCCAATTTTCGTATTTCAACAGATAACTCCATAATGAGAACAAATACTATTCAATTCAATTCTTTCCTTGTCAGTAAATAATTGAATACTGAATAACTCATGAATCATAAGACCTTCAGTTAAGAGATTATCACGTTTTATTTAAGTTTTTTCTGTTTATAAATAGTGTCCACAGACTTTTTTTGACCACATTTTGTTGATTATTTATTATAGTATCAAAACTAGGTCTTAAGTAAAATTTATATTAGCTGAAAACTGCTTTAAATACTAATTAAATTCTAAATAGATTATTAACAAATTATTTCACTCATTTGACGAAGGAACATTAAAATTCCTTTCGGCAATAAGTGTACCCCAAGATTTTTTACTAACTGTATATAGCCAATCCCCTCTCACTTCTCATGAAATTTTATTTTTCTCTTCTTTTATTGAAAACGGTGAAAGCAAAAGTAGAATTATAGAAATTTTAAATATTTTTAAATTAGTTTTACATAATTGCACTTGCCAAGTCTTAGTGTGGTCAAAGTTTTTCCCCAATTCCCTGATTTAAAAAACTTCCCCTAACTTGAAGACCGATAAAGGCCTAAAAATTTATAGCCATGTAAAAATGTGTCCCACTCAAAAATTTAAACTCCATAAAATTGTGACTCTCTCGAAAATTCATAAATTCTGGAAAACGTGACTGTTTAATATAGTTTCATTACTTGTTAAGAAAAATTGGGAACTGCATTGATTGGCATAAACTTGGTTATAATTAATATTTGTTTAATAAACTCTATTCCAAATTCGAAATAAAGTCTATTCTTTGCTAAGTTATTGAATTGGTAGCCGTGAACGATGCACTTCACTTGGGCATGGACATCCCTGCATTTTCAGATATTGTCATAAAGAGTATTACCACCAACCAATTATTGAAAAATAATTTAATTACTTTTTATAAATGCTCAATTATTTAGTTTTAATTAATATATGCCGATTTTGTTCTTATAAGATGAGAATATTATAAAACATCGACAGCCATACTGCAAATTTCCGTAAGATCAATTTTTTGGAAAATGACGTTCTGAGCTTTCCTGATCAATCTTGAGGTCGTCATCGACGGTCGATTCGTTACGGTTAAGTTTCCCAGCAAGTTCTGTTTTTTTTTTTTTTTCAACAAAGCAAGCAGAACATCATCCTTCCACAACTTTCCTTTTCTTCATGGCTGAAGTCTCTCACCGCCGTTGTACAGAACACTCATTAATGCTCGTAAAAAAACCTTATACGAAAATCACGTGTTGAAATCTTATGTTAGTAAACACTGAATTATTTCTAATCAGCGAAATGCTACAGATGTAAACAAAGATTATCTTTTGGAAGTGTTGACATTCATACAAATGAATAACCAAGTAAACGTAAACAGTTTTTTATATAGAGAGATATTTTAAGTAAAACTCAAAATCCTCCATTATTTTCTGGACAACCCAATATAATGCTCATAGAGCAAAAACTAAGCATTATTTTTTGTCTTCTAGAATACTTAGTTTTTGTTCTTATTGGCTTTTCAGTGTGATTTTCGATATTATGTTCTATCATTTTTAGTGATGGATTTATAATGATTCAATTGAATTTTTCATTGTCTAAACATTTCTTATAAATCAAGCAGGTGGTGTTGTATAGCTAGTGACGCGTAAGTAGTATATGGGTTTTTAGTCAAAATTGTCGTGTCTCGTCGATAACAGGTTTATCGTTGGTGTATACAATGTAATACTTTTTAGATTAAAAATTTCATTTTTTTTTTTTCATAAATGAGTTCTTTTAGAAATCAGTAAATGCACTGAGAGAGGAAAAGTGAATAAAACATTCAACATAATAGAGATTAAATGAATTTATAATAGCAATATACTTACTCTAGACAGCTTGTATCATCTTTATGAAGAAATCATTTGGTTTTACTGAAATTTAATAATAATTATTACAATTTGTCATCGGGAAGTTATTTTATGTATATTAATTTAAATATACTTACTCTTATGCTGTTTAAGTTGCTCTGAAAAATGAAATAATTAATTAATATCTAATAAAATAAACATTTTTTAAAACTTATTCTTCATTAACTTAACTTATTTCACAATTCAATGTTTACAATTCAAATCAATATTTTAATAATCTAGTTTAGTTAACTAACATTCTACTTGCTGTTCCATCAGAAAGAAGGAGTTTAGTTGTATTAATATCTGTATCTTGTTCTAGTTTAACACTAATTTTTGAAACTGAGAAGGTCCTCACTGTATTTTATAATCAAATTAAATGTTTTTTTTTTCTAATTTAACATACTAATGATCTCTCGTGTTCTTGAAACCTAATCTTGTTGAAAAGTTCATATCTAGAAAATATAAAAGTGTACCATCAAAGCTCTTAAATTCTTCAATATTTTTTATGTTTGTTAAACTGATTACGCACATTGAATTTATATATTATATTTGACGTTTACTTGGACATTAGGATTTAACATACCATTTTTCTATTTTGACCTATTACTCCGTGGTACAGACCCCTTTTTATCTAATTATTAACATCCGCTTGAAACTTCGAAAATAGTTTCATTTCATCTTAACCTAACTTTTATTCAACTTTTATTTACGAAAACTCTTAGAATCGGAGTGTTTTCAATCTGGGGGGGGGGGGGGAGGAAAACTTTGTCTATTTTATTAGTTACTAAAAACTCGTAAATATACATTTGCTTTCTGCTTGGATCGTAATATAACTTGATCACAAAATCGAGAAAAAAGGTGACCATCACAAATACTGGGCCGTGACCTACGTCACAAATTTTCAAAATAACGAGATTATGTAGAACAAAGGCCCAATATTTTTTTAGGCTGCCTTTTTTTTTTTTATCGATTTTGAGATCAAATTATCTTACGATCCCAGTAGAAAACAAATGGGTATTTATGAATTTTAAATAGATAAAGTTTGCTCCCCTCTAGATTGAAAACGCCCCAATTCCAAGAGTTTTCGTAAATGAAATAGCTCTATGTTACGATGAGATTTAGAAACTATTTTCGAAGTTTCAAGCCGATGTTAATAATTCGATAAAAAGGGGTTTGTACCACGGACTCAATGTAATAATAATAAATCATGACTTGAATGTTCATCATTATTCTTACCTAATTCTCTTAGTATATCCATAAATGCACTTTCCTGTCCTGGATGATTCTCTGTAATACAATTTTGTATTTAAATTTTTAATGAAAATTCAAATTTAATTTATTTTTTTTCTTTTATTTTTATTATTATTATTATTATTTTTGCTGAAATCGTTTGATATTTAATACACCAGATTAAAATAATTCCACCACATGTTTTTTACTTACTAATTTCTAGCTTAATTTTATTTTCTGCTTCTTCTAAGGTCTTTTCTATAAATTAAAAAAATAAATATGAATATTGGTTTAAAAAACAGATCAGTTAGAGATACTTTGAAGTAAGTAATGAAAATAATTTATACACACCCCAGTCTTTCTGCAAGTTTCCTTTGAAACCTGAAATAAAAAATTATTAGTTTAACTTTAAACTATTTGATTCATTTATAATATTGGCAGACTATTTTTATTAGATTTTTGGATTATACGTATCTTAAAAGGTAAAATCTCAAATTCTAAGAGGAGAATAGCTTTTATTTTTCTTGATCGATTGCAAAGGTTGATTATTGAAAATAATTAACGCAAAATCATTGAAATCGGGCTATTTGTTGCAGAGTTATGGCGTTTTTAAATTTGTGATTCTTTGTTTGTTTTATTTTTTTGTTTGTTGGAAATTCGATCTTTATAATTTGTTTTTTTTTTTGATATCTCAAATCTAAATCTACCCGTATAAATCCTAATTCTGGTTTCACAATTATTATAATTAAACATGTAGCTTATTAAAAAAAAGTTTTAAATTTCCTATTCTTAGCGGACAAATGTTTTCTTATATGATAGGTAAAGTCTTTCCTGTGGACACGCTATAATATTGAATTTATATCTTTGAAAATAATAAAACGTTTGGTAATAATTTGCAAAGCTTTTATTTCTCTATTTAAAAACAATGAAATAATTTCATTCCTTTTAAAAATAAGAGGAACATAGAACCTCAGCTACGGAGCTCTGCTTCTCACACCTTCAATTATTCTAATTGCTAAATGTAATTCAATGAAACTGAGGGAAAGCAATTTCTACTCCATTCTTCGAATTTCTCCTGACTTTGGGTCAAATTGAACGAGCCGCTTTCAAATTATAGGCGTGTCAAAAACTATACGTTTCCAGTTTCCAAACCTCAAATACTTTTTAAAGTAGTGGATAGAACTTGATGAAATCTACTATCTACTGTATCATACGTTTATCAATATCTTACTTACCTCCAACTTTAGGCTTAATCGAACGTGCGGTTTTTGAGATATTTCTACATCTAAAAAATACATTTGTGATTGCGTAAGCAAAAGTGCTTCATATAATTTAATAAAATTTATATGTGACTATTTTTAGTTGCCGAACCACACAATCCCTGAAAATTTTATTATGCAAATCGGATTCTTAAAGCTAGGTAGGATAGTGCTTGATTGAATGAATACCTTTTGCTCTTTGAGCGCAGACAAGCGCTGTGAGGGCTAGAATCGTTACCAAAAGTACGATAGATCTCATTTTCCTGTAAGTTAGATAAGATTATCATTTGTTCAATATATTTAATAATAACTTAATGTAGGTGATTTATTTTCTTATGATATGGAGTCAATGTGCTCTCTAATCTTCATTATAAATGTCCGTAAAAAAAAAAAAAAAATATATATATATATATATATATATATATATATATATATATATATATATATATATATATATATGCGCATATATATTCATATCGGTGATTTAAGCGATGATATCGGATTTTTTTGTTTTTTTGTTTGAGTTTATAGGAATGTCTAGTTACTGTAGTATATACGTTTATCCGTAAGGCTTGTTAAAGGTTCCCATTTGATTATAAACATGAATAGCTAAATCGCAATCAGCGATGACGTTTTTTTCAAAAGATAATTTTTTTGAAAGTCTATTAATTTAAAGATATTATATTATAATTTAAAAATATTATTTTGTCATTAAGACTTTTCTCGTGTAATAAATAATCAATTAAAAAAAAATGTCTGCTTTAATTTTGTTTAATATCTTAAGTTTGTTCTAACTTTTACTCAGTAATTTCTAAACAATTAAAATTAATGTCGTAAAAAGCAACTTTTAATTATTATGTTGTTGGAAATCATGGCAATCCCTGAAAGACAGTTTTGTTATAAATGTCAGTATCTACCCAATAACTTTTATTTTACGCAATATTACTAATATGAGGGGCTATAATTATAATTTTGGTACAGATCGATGCGATATTTGATTATCATTTATTACTTTACATTTATTTTATCGAAATCTATGATAGTTTGTATTTATGATATGTACATGGCTACATGAAATATGTTCTAAAGCTACTTACTGTTTTCAATGAGGCTTCCTTGTCGAAATAGTTTGTACTAATTGTGGACGTAACAGTTTTATAGAAGGATGTCAATATTTGCACAATTGGTTCATTATTTAGATTTACGTTTCGAGGAACATTGACGGATGCTATGTAACAACTTGGATTATTTTAAAGCCTATCTAAATAAATGACTATGTCAGAATACATAGTTTGAAGTGGTTGGGTCACTTACATAGAATGGATGATGGGAAAACCCAAGGTCAGTAAAACTACCAGGTTCGCTCACTCAGAAGGGAAATGGTGGGGAAGAATTGAGCTCTGACGTAGCCAAAAGACTGATTTTATCCCTCCGGCCTTTGTTTCACGACATTTTAAGATTATTATTTACTTTTATACATTAAATTAATAGTGTATTGTTTCTGTATTATTTTTTTTTTATTGTAAATAGAGTGTGAGTGTGCTTTCTCTGAACACTATTATAAATGTCCTTGATGTGACAGAATGTAATATTTCAAAAAAAAAAAAAAAAAAAATAGTGTATTACCAAAGAACTTATTAATTTATTAATTTTAATAAATTTGAAAGATGAGAGAAAGGTTGATTTGATATTTGGTTTATTCTGAAGCAAATAAAGTGTAATTTAACAAGTTGATGTATGATTTTTTGCAAAGTACCACAATACTACTTTTTAAATATTTCAAATAAATACAGAGCATACATAATATAAAATAATAGAAATATTGAAAAAAAAAAAAAAAAAAAGTATTTAATCTAACATTAAAGAAGCGTTTTCTTTCCGTGAATTTTTGTAAATATTACATTTTTATGTCATAAGTAATCCTATGTAGTGATTTTTCTCAAGTTTTTCGGCTTTGATTTTATGTTTTCTTAATTGTTGTAAAAATCATTGGGTATTTAAAAATTTGATTCTATTAAATACCCGTTGCTGAAAGAAAGGCTTTCTTCATTAATTTCTACATTTTGTTTCCTAAGAAAAAAATAGTAAATTATTTTACAATATTTGTTTTTTTTTTACAAATTTTTTACATTTACATTTTAAAATCCAATCTTTTCTTCGAGCGTCCTTTGGAAAAGTATGAAATGTAATTTTCTTTTCCATCTTCTTTGTGTCAATTAGATTATTGTTGCAAGATGCAACTGCGCATTTTGTACCTGGCATTCTATGGGATTCTATTAATAATTATGTTATTATGAGAAATACAAGAAATACTAATAAGAACAAACGAATTCACTGTAACATGTTATTAAAAAAAAAATAAATACTCGTTATAATATTATTTTAGAGACGGATAAGTAGTTGACTGTTAAGATTATAGGTGAAAATAAATTATCAGGATTTGCAGTAAAATTTGTTTATTTTTTTAATTAAATTTATTTATTTAAAGAAATTTTGACTGCAAATCCTGACAAAGATCTTCACCCTTATAATATTATTATAATATCGTTATAATATTAAAAGAAATACGCAGGGGATCTACAAACAAAATTACACAAACATTGTGCTAAAATGTTCTCTAAATATATATATAAATCTTAGTTTTTTCTATTTATGTAATATATTTGTATATTATTTACAGAGATTTTGAAATAAAGAATTTAAAAATAACCTTAATATCAATTTCGTTCTTTTCGTTTCAGGTCTGGCCTGTAATTTTCATAGCATTTTATTCTAGATTGATAGTATTTATTTATTTATCTGCTTGAAATTATCTTCAATCAAACGTCAAAAACACAGAAAAGTATTCTTCTCAATAAATTAAACTAGAAAATAAACAAAAAAGCACAATAATGTTGAAATAAGTCTCCATTGATAATCTTGAAAGAGTAATAGGTAGGTCTCGCAGTCTATTCCTTACGCCACGTTTCAAGTTCCCCCACCACGCATTTCTGAGTGAGCGAACCTGGTAGTTTTATTGACCTTGGGAAAACCGTCAAAAGGTTATACCAGGGTTATCCAGAAGGAGTGCGGGCTCGGGTGATGCCAAGAGGTAGATAGAATAGAAGGTCTCAGAAGACCTCTGAAAATTTAACATGTCTTTAAGTCTAGCTGCTGACCGACAGGATTGGGCAAGACAGGACCGACAGGACTGAGACATATATATATATATATATATATATATATATATATATATATATATATATATATATATATATATATAATATATATATATATATATATATATACTGTCCCGCTCCGTACCTTAACTTATATATATGTATATATATATACATATATATAAGTTAAGGTACGGAGCGGGACAGTATTAGCGTTGATACCAAATGCATTGATGTAAACAATCTCAGAATGTATTTATAGAGGATTAGAAGGAGAAATAAACCAGTCTTGATTTCGTCTTCATGCGTGTTATTTCTTAAACCTAGTACTTTTTTTTAAATGTTTCAAGCCCGCTACGCTTAACTTATATATATATATATATATTATTTATATTTAAAGATCATTCCTTTATTAATTTTATTTGGGATCCATAAAAAAAAAATAATAAGAATGTATATATATATATATATATATATATATATATATATATATATATTTTACTAATAGTAACTAATACTTCTGTATATTTATATATAAGTTCATATATTGTCCTAAGGATAGAAGAGTATGCTGTGTATATAGCAACCCAATATAATTGGGCAGAAATCCTTTATATTTTATGAAAATAAAGTGTTTCTCTCTCTATTATTATTATTTTAAGTTTATTTGTTTCATTATTATTATTTTAATTCAGAGGTCGGCAATAAAAACTACCATAAATCCAAGCAAATGTTGTATTTGTTACATCTTAATTATAGTTGACGTTTCGAAAACTTTCTCGTTAACGTTTTCATTTGTATCAAACAGAGGTGCCCATCCCCCCAAGGTCGATAGCTCAAGAATCCACTCTCCCCCATTCTACAAAGATATTTTATTCCTCACCTTTCTTAAAAACAGAGCAAGGCTAAGAAAGAATTAGAAAAATCGTAGACCATAAATAAATACATTTGCTGGGATCAGTTCCATGTGTTACCCTTGCCCATTAGTCGAAAATACACAACCCCGTTTTGGGGTTGAAATTTGCCCCCTTTAGAAATGCAAAAATCCATCAAAATATGCCCCTTCAAAAATTTTGATGGGACAACTTCCGACATGAAAGATCCTTCTGGGAACACTTGTATCGAGCCGACATTTAGATTCCAAATTCAAAGTGAAACCACTATCCAAAACTGTATAAATCAACTATCTAATTACCTAATTAATTGAACAATTGCATAGGTTACTGCATGCTAAGCGTAAGAGGAATATAGCTTGTTATCTTATAAATGGTTATAACTCTTACCTGATTTTTAAGTTAGTAATTTTCGGATTTAATCGGTAAACGCATTTCAATTAATATTATTTCCTTGTCTATTTTTACGTACTTCTACAAGGAAAGGAAGGCTAATAATAAATTTAAGGGAACGATTTGAAGAAAATAAATATTTATCTGATGGTTTGTTTGCTTTAGAGGTTTAAGTATTCATTTATGTAATGTTGAAAAAACAAAACAACAGCCGGTTCAGTTAGTCATTTGAATATTTATTGCGTAGCAAAAAAAATAATAGTTAATCAGTGGAACAGCAAAACTAACGTTTGCTTAAGTGACGCTTCTTGACGGAGTAAATATTCATTTTTATTTATTTTTGATGTGGAAGGAGTAGTTTACCATGTATTAAGCCATTTTCTGACTTCCAACGGAATTTCGTGACGGGTTTCGACAATCGAGGTTACAGGGGAAATAAAGAGGGAAAAGAAGGGAATTCCAATCCTTAAACTTGCTAAAACTTGATGTAAGTTGGATTAAGAAATGTAAGTGGTAACTATACAATGACGCATATTAGAATGTCCTAGGAAATTTGCAGGGACAAAATTCAAAATATTAGGAGTGAATATTTTAATGAAAACGACATAAAACTTGTAATTACGGAAGTCGGTGAAGGGATGGCCTTGCAGGTTTACGTTTGTGCAATTCACGGAGTTGCCTGGCAACAGATTCCCAGTCAGGTATATCAGGATAAACAGAGGATTAGGATTTCAAGTACCAGTACCGGGGACTTTTAGCTCTGACATTAATTCCTCGCTCTCACCCCCTAGTACGGGAAAATCACGTATCGCCGAAAAGGCTAAGGAAGGGGGAAAAAAAGTTGATGTAGTTTGTAAAATAATTAAAAGTTGAAACTACAACAAACAAAATTAGTAAACATGGTAATAAATATTTAGAGTTGAGAGCCAATAGTTAATAATAAATTTTACTGGTTCGATTAAAACGGAAAACAATAAATGTCACACCTTTAAGTTTGGATTTTAAAAAGAATATGGGTTTGGCCGAAGGAGAGAACATTCATAACAAGTTCTTTAAAAAATTTAAGATGAAAACAACCATAAAAGTTGTAAAAAGATACAACGTTCTCTTAACATATGAGAATATTACACATACATGGTGTTTTTTTTTTTTTTTTGCACCATTCATGTCCATAAATATTGTTTTCACGAGAATATTCTTCTAATAATCCAAATTTTCAGTAAGTCTACCATCGTTATTTATAATTTGTAAATAAAAAAAATTTGAACGGAAGAAATGTTCCATTTCATTTTTAGTTAATAATCTTCATATGTATGCAGATATTAGGATCCAACTAATAAATTATATCATCGCGACAATCTTCAGAAAATAAAATAACCTAAATTGAGGTTAAATTTTGGATTGAAATTACTGAGATTAGAAATGAACCGATCCATTAGAAACATTGCATAAGTTTAAGTCGGTACTTAAACAGTGGGCATGTTTTGCATGTATCTACCTCTGAACTTCCTGAGTGCCTCAATCGCTTATAGAAAAATTAAGTAAGGTAAAGTAGATGGAACAGACAATATTTTTTGTGAACTAACCGAAGCGTGATTGAAAGCTAGAATTTCTTAAAGTACGTTTAGACATTTCATCAAGAATGTGAAACACAAATATCTGAATGATTGTTTACCTATGGTAGCGTTTTTGAAGTCTAAACTTCCTTGGGCGCATTTTGCACTTTTGGAAAGAAATGTATCAGATAATGTCGG